ACTCTCATGTTTAATGATTTTGTGAGTATTTAATGCTTGCTTTATTTTATAGGTATCTCTGTCCATTTTGGAAGTAGACCATTATGAGTGTTTGGTTTTAATGGCCATAAAATGAACTATTGGATTTGATCTCCAGCATCCCTTTAGCTGTTAAATTCTAGGATTCTTTACTTTGTGACCATGATTTAACAGAAAAGTCTTTTTAAAATAGTGTTTTATTTTGATTTTGGTTTAGTAACTTTTATAAAAATGTATACTTGCTTAATCCAAAAAATCAGTAATTACTCTGATTAAGGTATCATATTAGTATATTTGGGTCCAGGGAGTAAGCTCTAATTGTGTACAGTTAGGTCAAAGTTGATACTAATTTATGAGGTGGTACACATTGACTTCTAAACACCAAAGAACTAAAAATTTGAAACTTAAAACTTCATATTCTCATTAAATGAATGAAAATAAAGTGTCTTTATCTTTAGAAGATTTTTTAAAAACCCTAAATCAATAATTTGTGTTCATAAGAACCAGTCATGGATTAAGACCCTTTGTAAATACTAGTTTTGGATTTAAATACTTTACTTGAGACATGTAGTAAAACTAATCAAAATTTGACTTAACATTTAAATTATTCCAGTATATCAAATCGTATACTGATTCTCTTTTCCTCTAGGTTTAAAAATCTTTTTTTTTTTGAGACGGAGTCTCGCTCTGTCACCCAGGCTGGAGTGCAGTGGCGCGATCTCAGCTCACTGCAAGCTCTGCCTCCCGGGTTCACGCCATTCTCCTGCCTCAGCCTCCCCCGAGTAGCTGCGACTACAGGCGCCTGTCACCAAGCCTGGCTGATTTTTTGTGTTTTTTAGTAGAGACGGGGTTTCACCATATTAGCCAGGATGGTCTCGATCTCCTGACATCATGATCCGCCCGCCTCGGCCTCCCAAAATGCTGGGAGTATAGGCGTGAGCCACCGCACCCGGCTGAGTCTGGATAACTTTCACACAACTTTTCCTTGATCTGTAAAATGACCTCATGAAGGAAGGAATTGATTGAAATCATATTATTAACCAACCTGTCTCTTTATGAGCTCTACTAACTACTAGGATATAATCATCCTTTTGTCTTTTTCTGAGGCCCTACCCATTCACAGTAAAGATTATATGTCAGTAAAAATCCACCTTGTTGTTCTTTTTGAATATTGTAACCATTTTTGCCCAACTTCAGTCTTCAGCTACCTTTGTGTGTGTGTGTATGTGTGTGTTTTGTAATACCTCAAAGACTACCAACAGTAGTTTGTTCAGAGACAACATTTATTCTGGGCTAAATTTTGTAAGCCAGGAGGCCTACATGTGCTTTCTTTAAAATCTGCCTCTTCTTGGGCCTCAGCTTCCACTTAACATTTTTTCTTACACTTTTCAAATAGTAGATAAAATTCTTTTAGAGAACAAAGGGAAGCAAAATAGATGTTCTGCTTGCTGTTGTATATCAGTTCCAAAGAACGTTTGTCTCACTTGATTGTCATGTTGTAGCTAACAAGTGAAAAGCAAAACTTTTTTATTGTCCTTAGTATTTTTGTCAATCAGCCAAGTAGATGAATGGAAGAGTAGGTAAAGAAAAAAATAGTAAAAGGAGCTATAGATGATCTAGAAATAGACAACAACCTGCTGTATAATTTGCAGGATATTGGTAATTCAAATAGGTCCACTTTGGGAAAGTGGCTCATTTGCATTTGGTGCTGTTGTCTGGACTTCTTTTCTTTAAACAGTGAGGGAATTGAGCATGATTAATAATCATGTGCTTATCAAAGCTCTATGTCTTGCAAAGTAGTAGAAGACTCAACCCTGGAAGGGCATTTATTGACAAATTACGGAAAAGATCAGTGATAGGACAAACTTTAGTCGCTGATTGACCCAGGGGCTCAACTGATGTCCAGGATTGACAAGCACATGCTCACTCGCTCACTCTCTCTCTCTCTCTGCTCCACGTGCTGTCTATTGGATCCATTTTCAGAGACTTTCCCCTTGTGGTATCAGATGACCACAGTAGCTCTTCATGTGTCTCTCAGATTTAAGTTCAGTTAGAATAAACAAGTGTCTGCCCCAGAGTCACAGCAGAAGTCTTGTTACCACCCGTTGGCTCTTATTAGGTCACATGCACATTCCAGAACTGATGATCAGCATGACTGCTGGGGATATCTGGGAATGGGCATGGAACTCTGCTCAGACTCTGTTGAGCATTGGGGAAGCACAGATTCCTAAATGAAAAGTGAGGCTATTGCTGAAAGATAAGGAAAGGGATGCTGAGGTGGCAAATAGCAAATACGACAGTGGTCCTTCAGTTCTGATTTATTGTATAAGTGGGTACATTTGGTGTTATTTCACGATTTTGTGACCTATGAAAACGTCCATTTTGACCTATTAAATGTGAAGACGTAAAGTGGAGGCTGTATAGTAGATATAGGTTCCAGTCTTAGCTGTGTTACGTATCCCTGTTGTTGAGGAATTCAAAGGCATTCAATGAATAACAGTCTTTTCTCCTGCTTGAATTCTGTGAAGAGAAGACAAATTGGCACATAGGAATAAAAAAAATCAGTTTTATTACTTCTGAAAGCTGGAATGGATGACTTGGTTTTTGTGTGACAATAAGGCTCTAGTATTGAACCCAGAACTAAGCAATTATTTAACTCCACTCCAATGGGCTTTTAAATCTTGGGGTCTGCCCCTAAGAATTCACACCAGAATACATGAGTCCTACAGATATCTGGCTCCCCACAGAAGGCAGAGGTGAAGAAGCTACATATGTCTAGTTTCTCTAGCAAAATCTCTTACCAGGCAGGTCATTTCACATCCATGATGATTGATGAGGTAGCAGGCCAGGAGTTGTTGAGGAAAATTCCTCTTTGTGGAAACCAGAGGACAGATGAACAAACATGCCCTCAACACACAGACTTATCTTAATTCTTTTATTTGTTAAATAATAATCTGTTTTAAGGTTAGTGTGATGTTCAGGCCAACAGACTCTGGATATAGAAACCTAAGGAGATTACCAAATAACCACCCTCTCCAGTTTTTCAAGTTGGATTATTATAATAATTGATATGTGCGTAGGAGGGAACCCACTTTGCCTAGGAGATGAGTAAAATTGGTAATAATTAGACAAGCATAAGGATTTGTGAAGTGGGAGGAAGCAGGCAATGCAAGAAAATGTCTTGCAGAATCTATAACTATCACGTCTTTGCAAATTTAACCTAAGGCAAGCAAACTTTTCTCACCTAGCCATCCTGAACTCACTGATACAGATTCTAAGTTTTTAGCCCATTCTCCAGTTCAGTTGTTCTCACAAGTGTGCTCCCTAGACCGATAGCATCAACTTCACCCCAAAAATTGTTAGAAATGCAGATTATTGAGCCCCACCTTAATCTACCTGAATCTAAAAATGCTTGAGGTGTGGGGCCCAGCAATCTAACCAGTTCTCCGGGTGATTCTGATGTATGCTGAAGTATGAGGACCATATACCATGATTACAGACATCTTCATAACAGTTTCATAGCTGAAGATTTATTGCATTGGCCATTCTAATCTTTTCTAGTTCTAATCATCGAACATTTAAAAAATATTTTTGAGTGCAGGTAGATTGCTTGAGGTGGAAAGAAGTTGAGTCTGTAAAATGGAGCGAGAGAGTCATGAGCAGTGGGGCTGCATTTTCATCTTGTAGGTTTAGATTCAGTGGCATGATGCCTATTTCAAAAACTAAATGTAGCAGCAGAATGCTCAGGACATTGTATGTGTGAGATATTAGAATGAGGAAGAACCAAGGGATTAGTGATTCTAATTTGCGTAGAAGAACTTGAAGATCAGGAAGAAAGGGGGTTATATACAGAAGAGACTTTTCAAAGATAGAATTAACTTAGTAACAGACTGAAGCCGGAAAGGATGGAATCAAAGGTGATTTAAGATTCCTAGCTGAGCTGATAAGTATAATGGTGGTGGCAGAGCTGTTAAATGAGTGAATGAGATGAGTCCATCGTTGGGCGTGTTAACTTTGAGGTGATTGTATGGAGAAGAAAGCTTATCTTTAGTCAGATTAGAATAATAGGAGGAGTTGAAAGTATGATGAAGAAATAAATGTAATGCATGTATTCATTCCTTAGACTTTTACTGAGTGTCTACCATGTGTCTGGTACAGTTTTAGGTTCTCAAGATGTAGAAATGGACAAACTGTACCCTCAGAACTAGTACTGTAGATGGAGGGAAAAAAATAACATATAAACAAATGAACAAGATAAATTTAGGTAATAATAAGACTGGGCAAGGAAAACAAAAGAGTAGAGAATTTCTTTAGATAGGGGGTCAAAGGAAGACCTGAGGTGGTGACATGTGATAAGTCATATAGAGTATAGTTTTTGACAGCCAGAAGATGGTAGAGTCACAGAGTGGCCAATGAGAATTACAGGAAATAATAATATTAAAGGATCTGTTACGCTTTTTGTCCTTTCAGGCGCTATTCCATATGAAAGATTTGCAGAGAGAAATCCAAGTATAATATTAAAAAGAACTTGGGCTTGGATACAGTCCACCTCAGACATTTCAACCATTTGTTAGCTGGGCAGAAAACTCACTTTCTTGAAGTCTGCTCTTCTCAGTAGAAGAAGAAGGAGTCATACTTCATGGGATTAAATTGTAATGATTAAGTGAGAGAATGAATTTAAAACAACTAGCATAGTGCCTGGAACAATAACACTAATGCTGAGTGGATCATAAAATTCAGTCATGTGAACTGCAGTTTCATTTAATGTTGATGTAATCTAATGTCTTTTGATACACAATTTATTTAAAAGTTGTACTTTGATCTGTTATGCAAAACACTTTAAAAGCACAAGACTGAAGTTCAAAACTATTTATGTTATTAAATAATGTACTTTAGCTACCTGATGACATTTAGAGAATATGCTTATGTGCATAATACTCTTAAGATAGATTTTATTAACTTTTAAATATTTTCTTCTTACAGATGTGTACATCTCATGATTGATACGGAGAAACTAGTCATGGGCCAAAGGTCAAGATACTTCTCTGGGAAATGTTGCTGCTGATGCTGCTTTACAAAGTCATACAATGAGTGTTTGGTTTAAGAAAGATTTTCATATTTAAAAGATTTTCATCTTGGAAATACATCAAGTGAAAATTAAATTCTTTTGGGAAACATTTTCCTTCTGATATATTATACTTGTAATGGGCGACATGGCAAACAACTCAGTTGCTTACAGTGGTGTGAAAAACTCTTTGAAGGAAGCTAATCATGATGGAGACTTTGGAATTACGCTCGCAGAGCTGCGGGCTCTCATGGAGCTCAGGTCCACAGATGCATTACGAAAAATACAGGAAAGCTATGGAGATGTCTATGGAATTTGCACCAAATTGAAAACATCTCCCAATGAAGGTGAGTTTTATTACGCTTGTTTTTGGTTCTTTGTGCAAGGAGTTCTATATATTGGGCTTAAAAATAAGCATGCTTATATTATGTTGGTGATTGTATGATTATGACATAATTATAGTGACATTAAAAATGGGTTATCAGATTAGTACAGGTAAAGTATTTTTATAATAACACATAAATGTTGCAAATTAATTTATATGTTTTAGATTGGCGGGATGAAATATTTTGTTCCATTATACATACTACTGCTGCCTGTTTATGATAAAAAGATTGTCTTCCCTTTGAGCTATGAAGGATGGAACCAGGCTTGGATGCCTCCCAGGGATTTGGTGGAAATAAACTCTCAGATCACTATCCTTCATTTTGCTGGGTGGCTTAAAATAGTTGTCACTGTCAGTAGCTGATTGAGTTGGTTTTAGCTTATGAGGCTTAACCTAACCTTTAATAATTAGCTCAGGAGTTCCTAAAGCAAATGAACTAGATTAGACGGAAGTTAGTTTTTCACCTAACAGACATTTCTTTTAATAAAACTAGTTTTCAGTCTTTGAATTATGTTGAATATCCCTGTTTTCACAGAAGCCTTTGGTTTCATAAATTTGTATTTGTGGCAGGTTTTTCTTTTTGAGAATCAAAAAGGAAAATTCATTATAACTTTCTGGCATTATGGTCTTTGAAATGATTTCAGAAGGTTGCCTTTTATAAATTAATCAGATTGAACATAAAATTAAGGTTAGGACATTTCTGGAAAGCATTTCCAAATTGTAAAGGCAGAGTTGGGAAGGGACACTTATGAGGATGAATGGGGATTACAATTTATTTTATTAAAGATGAGAAATTATTAATGTAAAATTTTAAAGTATATTAGTATATATTCCAAAGCCAGTTATAGAGAAATTAAGCAAAAGTATTTTTCTTCATTTCCTGAAACATTTTATGCCATGCTATTGCTTAGATGATATTTAATGTAATAGCAAAAAGGCTTTTACAAAATTAAGTAACTTTAAATTATATTTTAAAATTATTTAAAACCCTTGTAACCTATGTAATTCATTGTGAATTGTTAATTATTTTAATGATAGGTAGTTACTTTGATTTCTCTGAAGTAGCATGATCTTGAGGAAGCCAGAGTCAGTATTCACACGTGTCCCAACAGGGCTTCTTTAGACTATTTGGAATATGTTCTTTTCCTGCAAGACCTGTTAACTCTTCAAGGTTTTCTGGATCTTTTCAAATTGGAACCACTAGAAGCATCAGCTTCTTAGTTATACCTTAGATATGTTATACCATTTTAATGTGGTTGGGTTTGATTACTACAAGATCAATCCCAACTATTAATACATTAAGATGGTATTGCATATCTAAGGTATAACTAAGAGTATCAGGAACAGTTCCCATTGGACTTTGAATAGATAGTAATTTGACAAAATTGATTGCATACCTAAGGTATAACTAAGAGTATCAGAAACAATTCCCATGGCCTTGAATAGACAGTAATTTGACAGAATTGATCGCATACCTAAGGTATAACTAAGAGTATCAGAAACAGTTCCCATGGACTTTAATAGACAGTAATTTGACAAAATTTGAAGCTTATTCATTATGCAAACTGACTTTGAGTTATTATAACATCTTAGAGATTTGTACATTAGTATGTTGTTCTCAGCTGGTAGATCTGTTAATTCAGCTTAACCATTAAAATCTCATGGTTTTATCATCAAGTTGATAGGCAACGCTAACAGTAAGGAGCCCTCAATAGAACAATATAGTTTCTTCATAAAAGCAATATTGAGCTTTAGTTTCAAATCTTCACTCAACTGTACTTCCCCTAACCTGTACTTCCCCTAACCCTAACTTGCATTTCTCTATTAATCAAAGTTCTTGTCTTCCGATAACTGAATACCCCACCACCTGAAAATGAGAATGCCTTCTCATTTTTATAGACATGATTTCTCATAAGTTTGCACTACAGTTTCTTTCATGCTGTTATTTGGAGCGGTGCCTTTTAAATTGATTTAATTAGTGAAGTTAAGTTAACTGAAAATTTTGCATCTAGTACAGTGGTTTTTAAAATTTGATAAGGGGATAGTTATGTACCCTTTTGACAGTATGTTGGAAGCTATGGATAATCTCTAGAAATACCCACTTACCACTCAGAATTCTATGTGAATTGTTGCTGCTTTGGGCTATTAGATAAATTCATGCATTATCATCCCCTCTTTAATTCGTAGAAAGTGTTTGCTCATGTTCTTCCTAGTATTGTGAATTTCATATTTGCTAAAATTTGTATAAACTATTGTCCTCACTGTTTATATATACACAATTTGTTTTTTTGAAATGATCTTTTAAAAATAATGTGAAGCAAGCCATTTTAAGCATTATACTTATATTTGCAGTTGAAAATACGAATGAAAACAGCAGTGCGGTGGCTCACACCTGTAATCCCAACACTTTGAAAGGCCAAGGCAGGAGGATTGCTTGAACCTAGAAGTTCAGGACCGGCCTAGGCAATATAGCAAAACCCCATCTCTGCAAATAAAAAGATTAACCACTGTGGTGGCACATGCATCTCTGCTATTCAGGAGACTGAGGCAGGAGGATCACTTGAGCCTAGGAGTTTGAGACTGCAGTGAGCTATGATTGCACCACTGCACTCCAGCCTGGGTAACAGAGGGAGACCCTGTCTCAAAAAAACAGCAGCAGCCTTCACTAGAATGTTATTTCCAAAGAATCTTCATAGTTTTAGTTTAACTTAGTAGAAATAATTCACTCAGAAACATTTTGTCACTGATCAAGCATACAAATGGTAATAAATGAAACATGACCAGGAATAAGCAATTAGGAGTTTGTATGTCCAAGGAAATGAACTAGACAGCAAGTACTCTTTTGTTAGAATAACCTGTTTATAATCAGGGAAAGTGAGAATTACAATGATTCTTCAAAATACATGAATTTCAGTTAGGTAAAACCGAAGTTGTCGTACCTGTCCCTTTAGTTCATTCATTTATTGATGACGTATACTTTCTTCAGACTTAGGATATTGATTGTCCTGTGTTTTATATACTTCCGCTAAAAAAGGTGGTGGGGCCTGGCAGTTACTGGAAGGCAGTTGTCGGTGTATAATTAAATCATCACAATTTTGGAGACTTTATGTAAGAATATGTGCATCTTAGAATTGCTGAAATTTTGTAGTATTTTTTAGTATCTGCCATGCAGGAGGCATTTTTCTAGGCCCTGGGTATACATCCATGAATAAAACAAACATCTCTGCCTAATTTTCACATGTTCACATGGGGAGACAGTTCACAAGACAACTAAATGAAATGTGTAGTGTGTTGGCGATACGTTTTTAAAAAAAATGAGTGGAGAAGAGAAATCAGAAATATTGGGGGTGTCAATATTGGATTTCTGTAAATTATGGAGGAACAACCCAAGACATTTCTTAGGCAATAACCACAAAAATGATAGCTTATCCTTATGATAGATAACACTTTTTGTGCTAGATTGGTTATTAGCACTTGAAAATATTAAAATAAGTTAATATTTTAACAAGTTTATTTTACAGCCAAAGAACCCTCAGCACAAAAAAGTTAAACAGTTTACCCAGAGTCTCACTCTGGCTCCAGTCTTATTCTGGCTTCAGAGACCATGCTTTAACCACCGCATTGTGTGTTGCCTGTTACAAAAGTTCAGTTCACTTAGCTTGTGAAAGAGTTGCAATACGAAGAAAGAGGTAGCGCAGTCTTCTCAATAGTAATTTTTGATAGGGAAAAAGCATTTTGGAATTACATGGTGAAAAAAAATTTGGTTTAAGGTTCTGCTTATCAATTTGTTCTTCATTTAAAAAACATACCCTGACCAAGTATGGTGGCTCACACCTGTAATCCTAGCATTTTGGGAGGCTGAGGTGGGAGGATCATTTGAACCCAGGAATTTGAGGCCAGCCTGGGCAACATTTAAAAAATAAGGTAAAAAAAAAAAAAATGAGCCAAGAGTGGTGACACATGCCTGTGGTTCCAGCTACTCAGGAGGCTGAGGTGGGAGGATCGCTTGAGTGTGGGAGGATCGCCTGAGTCAAGGCTGCAGTGAGTCATGTGTGATCCCACAAAAGAGTGAGACCCTGTCTCAAGAACAAAAAGAATGCCCTATTCAATAAATTGTATTTATGTGATTCCTTTTTGTCTTGCCCATTTATCACTTGTTTTCTAACAATATGTTTTGAAGAATATCGTATGCATATCATATGCATGTGATACTGGTCATTAGGAAGTGTTTTGACCAGATGTAATTTTCATATTAAAAACTTCCCAGTGGTTCTGATTAACCATCCTAACTCCTAAAGAAATTGGAAATATAAATTGCAAGGTGAACTGGAATGGAGGCTTGTAACTTCATATTTTTGGCTCTCTTAGAGAAAGCATCTGTCTTACAGTCCTCAAAATCCAAGAATGCACTTTTATACCAAAATAACCTGCTTCTAACATCCTAACTGCATCAAATTACCTTCACAGTTTTTTTTTTCTTCTGTATCTTTGTTGTTTTCCTGCATTGACTTTCTTAGTCATATTCTAAATCACATTCCTTGATCCTTATATTTTTACACTAGCTTTTGGTATATCTTTCATCTCTTCGTGGTCCTGTGTTATCTATGTTATATTTTATGTTGGATGGTAGACTTTTTGATAATAGAGTTTCTGGTATATAGGCCTCCAGCCCTACTATCATGTTTCTTATTGAGAGTTCTACATTAAAAAAGGAATTCATGTTTTTAAATGAATTCATAAAAATTAAAGGCAGGTGCCAAGTGGTATTCGGTAAGAGGCATGGCTTCATGGACTTGTAAAGGGCAAGAAAGCAAATGAGACACTAAGCTTTTAAGTGGTGGTTGCTGAAATTAGGTCCAGGATTTTCTCCTGAGCTTTAGTTTTGAAAGCCCAAAACACACACAACCCAGAGTGTTGAACTGGTTGCTTGTCAGTCTCCCCCACTAAACTACGAGCTCTTTG